CCCCAAAACCCCAAAACCCCAAAACCCCAAAACCCCAGGAGTCAGGATTTATTGAATTTAATATCTTCCAGAATTATTCATACTCTTCTTCCTTTTCTTGCTTCGCCCTAGTCAGTTTTAAATTATTGGTATCGTATTTTTCAAGATCCTTCTTCAGTTCTTTACATTCTTCAACGATCTTTAGGTTTGCTGAGACTGGGCCTTCTAGAAGACTGATGTACTTGTACCTAGAGATTAAAAAAATTGCTACATTTGCTCAGTCTTTTCGACTTCTTGATGATAATGATGGTTCTATGTTTGTAACTGTAAAGTACCTTAGTTTCAAGCTTTTCAATTAATTTTTGATTTTGATGCTCAATTACTCCATTTTGTAGATCATATATCTGTATTGCCTTACGCATGTAGTCCCAATAATTCACTCTTGCTTCAATAGTCTTTATTCTGTTACTTTCACCTACAAAGTTATGACCTAAAATTGCCTTTTTCTAATTCTTGGTACCATGCTTCTCTTAGCTTAGCTCTCTCGGTGTTTTCTTGTCTTATATATTATCGAAAAAACTCATACATTACCTCTTCGGCACAATTGATAGCCCAAAGTCTGTAATCTTCTTCGTTTTTGGTATAGATGCCGAGTTCTTGGAGGTTCATCTGACCTAGCTCATTCAGTACGTAATTATTTTGTAATTTCTATAGTTGTTAGTCCAAACTACCTTATTTCGGCCTTTCTGGGCTCCCTCTGGGCCATCATCATTGTCTTCGTTTTGGCCTCCAGCTTCGTCTTCGATCTCCTGTTTGTTCCTCCTACAGCAGTAGAAGAATGCCCTGAGTAGCATCCGTAGTTTGCTAAATGGTTAGTGACTTGGCTGGATTACCCCTTGGTGGACTTCTTCCTAACTGTTAGCATAAACCTACCTCCTCCTCTTCGCATTCGACTGGATGTACGCAGTGTTCATGATTGCCAGCAGCATGTTCGCCAGAATGAAAATGAAGATGATGTTGTAGCTGTAGAAAAACAGAAACGCCATGGTCGCACTTACGTTTTCAAGAGCGATGTAGTCGAAGTCGCCTAGAATGATCGAGAAGCACTCCACCATGGCGTCTCCGAACGTATGGTACTCTTTGATATATGGTCCGAATGTCAAGTGGCTCATCGATACAAAGCCCAGAATCAGAATGATGTAGAACAGCAAGAAGTACAGGATTTCAAGCTTCGAGTCTGCCAACGTGTGCTTTATCATGAAGAAGTAAGACAACAAGTTGAATGATATGCAGATGCTTGCAAATGACAGCAAGATTTTGTAGTCGTTGAACAGCTCCTTTGCATCATAAAACTCATTATACATTGATTCTACCCTGCCTTGGTAACTATCGTTTAGTTTCTGATACTTTGCAAGATACACGATCCACACTCATGATATGATTCCTATAAGTATAAAGAAAGCCACTTCGAATATCGTAAAGAAGTCGATCAGACTCCAGATTTTCCTGAAGATTTCTGGTCTGTTCTTCCAGCGCTGACGCTTTCCTGCAAGCCCAGTGCGTATTTTGAGAAGGTGGTTGATCTCTTCATTCTCCCATTTATGATACAAAGCTAGGATGTTCCGCTTGCGCTTGTAAAAGAAGTATATCATCACTAAAGTTATCACAATGAATGTAATTTCGAAAATCGTGCGGATCCAGTCATACCAGCTGTCATATTCCGGAACATCCAGAGGCCGAGGTCTCCGAATGTCAATAGACGCAATATCGAGTTTTGTGCTCAGTTCACCGCTGCTCTTGAGATTGATGATAATTGCACTGTAAGTATAGAAAGAGTTTGATGCTTCATAGGTGACCATCTGTATAACATGAACACAAATTGTTGTAAAACTTACCTCGATTGACAAGAACCTCATTGAGTCTCCAATTATGCCGTCGTCGATAAACTTGGTCTTTTCGGTATCGTAGTTGGCAAGGTTGAAGATCCGACAGTGACTGCCTTGTCCTTGGAATCCATCACTAGTGTATTTGTATTCGAACCCAGAAGCGTCCCCTATAAAGTCTTGTGTGTCCACTCCTCCAGAACCTCTGTCCCACTCAGCAGATACCGGTCCCTTCCCTTTTGAAGTCTCAGGCTTTGAACGTTGAAAACAGAACCTCAGGCTTTCCTCAATGATATAGTTGTAGTCATTGATGAAGTAGTATTGGCCATCTGCTGATACTTCGTAAATTTGTGTCAAGCCTCTGGAAATCCACTCTCTGACTTCTCTGAAGTCTTCTAGCTGTGTGATGTTATGATACACATCTTCAGTTGTCAAAACAAGCGGGTCTTCAATACTGTTCTTGAGCGCATCGTTGTACATACTGAACATTGAAACTCTGACTTGTGAGAATGCAAGATAGGAGAAGAACCCGAAGAAACAGATGTAGCCAATCAGACTCCAGAGTTTCTTTCCAAGTTCTTTTTCTTTTCTGAGGTTGCTCTCCAGAACTTCTCTTTCACTTTGAACAGCTTCGTCAACTCGGTTCTTATCTCTGAAGTCATCAAGCGAAAACTCTTTGTTCCAGTCCATTTTAAGAAGCTCCTGTCTGATGGCTTCGTCTTCTTCTTTGTTATCGATCTTTGCGGCTCCTTCATCGTCATCTTCTTCATTGTCAATGTCTGAGTTTGCTTGAGAATATACGCTGTACGATTTGCTTAAGACTTTACCTTCTATAGAGTTGCATTAAAAATAACTTACTTGAGATTGCTCTGAGACAAGGCTCTGTTGTCGCTCCCAATCTTGGTTTTGACTCTGTCATCATCGAGAGCAACACTGACGTCTTCTGGCCCGATCTCGTCATGCTCGTTTTTAGAGTCCTCATCACTCTTGGAGCCTGGCTCTTTGTTGGAGTCATCTTCAGGGGAGGGCTCTTCTTGCTGATCTTGTTCTTCTTCTGAGTCATCAGGCTGTTTAGACTCGTCTTCGGAGTGTTCTGGTTGTTCAGACTCTTTCTCTGAATGGGGGCTTTGAGCCTTCTCTTCTATACAAATAACACCTGACACTACTTTTATCGGGTCTTTTGGCCCTGAGCTTTCTGAGCCACTTCCTGATCTAAACAGTGAGAGGAAACTTACAGATTTGTAGTATCCGTACAGGGTTACGCTCCAGTGAGTGTGCTCGAGTATTTTCTCGTTGTTGACTTCTTTCATCTGCTTGTTGACAGTGGAGTACGACAAAGCAATAATTGCAATGAACATGTTCATCAGGATGAAGTCCATCGAAGTGATGAAGATGATGAAGTAAATCACTGTAAAGTTGAAGCTCATTTCCTTCATTTCGTCGATCTGCAGAATGTTCCTGCCCAAGTACAGAAAAAGCGTGTTGAATGAGTCTCCATAAGTTGAGAAGCGCTCAACTTGCGACCCATAGAAAATGTGAAATGTTGTGGTGAACGAAATGAAAATAATCAAATACAAGATAAAGAAGTAAATGATGTCTGACCTTGCATGGTTGATCACGCGGAACATCACTGTGACTCTCTCCACCATAATTCCCAGATATTTCAGAAACTTGAAGCTGGTCAGGATCAGGTTCAGAGACACAATACGCTGGTATAGTTTGAACCAGCTAACAGCGTCTTCGATGTGATGATTGTTGGCAGGATCAGCAAAGAATTCAGCACTCCCCATGTCTATTCTTGAGCCATGAGCCACCACAAATATGATCCAAACGATGATGCTCCACATGAGAATAATGATGTTCGCTACATCGATAAAGTTAGTCGGCTGTTTCAAGAAATTGTAAATTCCTCTGAGCACGAGTCTGATGAAGTTGAACACTGTGAACAAGAAACTCGTTCCTTTCTGAGCATACTGGTCTCCAATTTTGATAAGCTTTTTGACTTGGTCATTGTCTCTGGACTCGATCGACCTGCCTCCATCGCGCCTAACAATATAATATGTGACTTACTGTTCTCGCTCGAGTTCTTCTGCTCTCTTGGCTTCTTCTTTCTGAATTTTCTTTTTCTTTTCGTCTTTCAAGAACTGGTTGTGGATCTCTTTGTATTCTTGCCAAATTTCATACACTTTGCGGCTGATGTATATAACTCAGATAGCCAGGAATGCAAACTCGATCACGCACCGGAAGACATCGAAGGCAGTTGCGTAATAAGATCTTTTGATCGACTCAGTGTCGATTTCGATCAGAAGGCGCCCAGACGGGTTCACTGTACACTCGATTTGAACATACGTGAGAATTTCGAGGTAGGGATTGTAAACTGCAAAATCAATGATAAGGCTAGCTGTCTGAGCATCTAGCCATCCATACTCGTCGATAAGTTGGAGTTGGTTGTCTACCTCACCATAAGGTTGGTTATGGACATCTATATTAATAACATAGCCTCCTTTCTTTTCGTAAGAAAGGTTTTCTTGATAATCTTGGTATCCAGGAATGATGGCATTATAATAAAAGCTTGAGGCGACTTTTGTATCGATCGATTCCATTGGTTGTGGAGCATAATACTCTGTCATCTCATAACTCTTTTTGCTATCACTGTATATAATTCCTGGGCCTGCCCAGATAAGAGGTATAAAGTTCTTGCTGATTTCGCTTGTGTTATTCTTCATCTCTATTCTTCTCTGAGTCATTCTGACTTTTGAAACTATGAATCTGAAAATAGTGGAGAACTTTAAAATAGGAAAGAAAATCTTCCTTAATGTACGTACTTGGTACCGATCACATTGTGGACCGAGTTGGTGGAATTGTTGTCTTTGTAGATTTGGAAAACCATTTCTTCGAAAGCAAGATAGAACTCTTTAAGAGTTTGAGCAGAGGTGTAAGGGTTCTCATTTTCATTGATGGCCTTTCGGATTGTGTCGTTTATACTGAAAGAATTTGAAACGTGTAATTGAGAGAAGATTATAAAGATAAATGTCACTGTGAAGAGGTAAAATATGCTATTTTTCAATACTATTATTTCCTCTCCAAGATGATTCTTGCTGGCCTTGAGTCTATATTTTGTTATAAGTTTTAAAGAAATTTGATTTAAAGTAAGAAGCTTGATGACTCCGAAGATTAATGGAATTGCAAAAAGAGGCTCAAAAGAGTGGCTATTTAATGCTAAACCCTCATCAACTCCAGACCCTATTTGATTGTTTTCTCTCTACACCTACTTTATCGTTATCTTCCTCTATTCTATCATCAATCTCGTCTTCTCTCTCTGACATATTAGATCTTTTGTTAGGCAAAATATTAATATAATTTAAAATCTTGGCTTTAAATGGGGTTTTGGGGTTTTGGGGTTTTGGGGTTTTGGGG